TCTGATTTCAGAAGAATAATTTGTTTCCCTCCTCTTCTAGTAACTGATCTATTGTGTATATATTTAGGTTTCTACTATCTATAAAGTCTCTCAGATCTTTGTCTAATAGTAATCTCACTATCTTGATATCTTTTACTTCTATATTGTTTGTACCTGTACGAGTTTCTTGGAATCGAAAACCAAGTTTAGCTATACTTTTGATAATGTTATATGTTAGGTTGCCTTGAGTTCTTGTTGAGCTGAATATGCATCTCTCATCTAGCAAACTATATTTGGATTTGCATTTTAATTGAGCATCTTTTAGTCTTAGATGAGTAGATTTCCCTATGCTATCCTTTTGGTTTAAACGTATCATTAGTTCTGTAATATGATGTGCTAGTTGATTTTGCTATATTGATCTTAAGCCTATTAATCCGTTATGGTTGCAAATGCTGTTTGCTACTAATTTTGTTAAGTCAATTTTGTTTTTAATTAGCATTCAAATTAGCCTCTATATTTGGTCGTATTTTGATTTTGATAAGAAGGATATTTGTAGTCTATATTCAATGCTAGGTAATAAGACACTATTATTTAGATATATTAGCTGACTAGCTATTGCTTTTTTGAATTTTACTGCTTTGCACATTCTTCCTACTTCTTTTGTGATAATTTTAATGTCACATTTGCTTCTACCTTTTTCAGATATCCAGACTCTTAAGTGTCTTATTGCTTCTGTTTTCCTTTTCGCATAAATGATATCTTTATTTTTTCCCACTTTTATGGCAAGCCTTAAGTCTTCTTTGTTTTGTTTTGCGTTTAGTATGAGCAGTTCTAATTTTTTTCTATTAATTTTTATATTATTTAACTCGTAGAATTCATCAGAAATTTTAATAATTTCATAGAGTTCTTTTTCTAATCTGGCTACCCATGTAGTGTCATCTGTGTATGCCAAGACATCTTGTCTCCAGCTCATTTCTTGATTTTCGTTACAACTTAAATTTGTAGGCCATTTTAAACTCATTTTATAGCCCATCTTCTTCTGGTCTTGGATTACGCATAGGAGTGGGTCATAGAAGATTTGCTATAATAGGGGTAAGATGACTTCTCCTTAGTCTAGGTCATCCTCTGCTATGAATTCTTGTGTCAAGCCATAACTCGTGATCACTTTGATTTTTCTTGTGTTGAATAAATTTAGTAAGAAGGTTCTTGTGATTTCTGGAAGTTTTATTCTTTTTAATGCTTTTTCTAGCATAGTTAGGCTTATAGAATCGAATGCCTTTTTCATATCCTGAAAGAGGATCTAGATTTCCTTATTTTTCTCTCTTGCCTCCTCTATTGAATTATTTATTATATGAATTAGGCTGCTCATGCTGCTTCCTAATAGACCTACAAAGTTTGGGCCTTTTAGAATATTAAACTCTGTAAGTACTTTGTCTAGTCTCTTGCCTATTATGTGTACTACTACTTTTTGAAAAGCTTCTAGAAGCATAATTAGTCTGACATTAGACAAGTTATAATTCCAATTTTCTCCCTTTGGAATTAGATATAATTGACTGATCTTCTACTTCATAGGAATATCTCCTTTTTGGATACATTTGTTTGCCAAGGTTAAGAAGACCATTTGAGCTATGTAGCCTGTCTTTTTTATTAGAGGATAGGTGATTCCAGATGTACCTAGTGCTGATTTAGACTTGACGCCCTTGAGGACTTCTTGTTACTCTTGCTTAGTCACTTCTCTACTTAGTATTAAATATATTTTCTCATTTATTTCATCTATAGGTCTGTATGCTTCGACTCATTTGCTTGTGAATTTGTTATTTTTGATCTGTCTTTTCTGGAATTGTTTTATGAAGTAATTTTTCACCTCTTGTTGTACCTCTTCTTCTTCTGTAAATAAGACTAGTTCTTCCTTGCTTCCTACTATAACTCTGTCTAATTTAATTTTGTTTGATGATCTTTCTAGAAGGCTACTTAGCATATGTTTTAATTCGCCCTGCATTGCAGCATATCTGTTGTCTATATACTTATTTATTTCTATCAGACCTTCTTTTTTCTTCTCTTGTTGTGCCTTAGTGTGTATTATCTTCTACTATGTTTTTAGGTCTTTGCCTCTTTGCTCTGTTCAGCTTCTTTCTATGATTTCTTTTATTTCTGTATCTAAATCTTCATTAAGTTCTTTGATTTTATTTGACCAAAAAAATCTTTCTTCTTCAGCAATTTATTTGCCTTTGTTTACTATATATACGTGACAAAGCTTGCCTAATATTCTTAGTTTTTTTAGAATATTATCACTCTCTTTTGGTTCTTGTTGTGAACAAGTTCCTATTTTAATGCTTTTGCTTGGGAATGTTTTGTATATGCTACTAAGTATATAACCTGATATTGTATCACAGAGCTCATCTATACTTTTCCCTTCATACTGTGTCTTTATATCACAGTTTTCAGAGCAAAGAGCTAGCTTTTCTTTAAGCATTTTGTCTAGCTTTATGCTGTATGCTTCCCATTCTTCTTCTGTTACGTTTTCTAATTTTAAAATATGTTTTTTCTCTTTCATCCTTTTAGTGCATGCTTTAGATCTACTTTTTTGTGTGAAACCTATCACTAACTGTGCTGAAACAATCTTGTGATCACTCCCTGTAATACACTCTGCATTTAGTATTCTGCAGTTGATAAGACCGTGACTTAGATCTTTTGAGGCCCAAATATAGTCTATTCTTGTGTTAGACTTTCCATTTGACTATGTGTATTCTTTTTTATAGGGTGCATGAGTCTGAAAGTATCTTCACAGTTTGAGTTCTCTAACCATGCTAGGAGTATGAGCTTTCAAGCTCTTTTCGAGTCTTCATTGCTTTGATCTAGGTCCTTAGATCTGATATCATTAAAATTACCCATAATAATAATCTTAATACCTCTTCTCTCATTCTCTCTAATCTTTTTTATGATATGTTGTTGAAGCATTTTTTTGGTTTCTTTGTCACTTGGTGGAATGTATGCTATTATTACTAAGATCTTTGCTTTCTTAAAGACAAACAAAATATCTATGTAATAGCTACTACATTTTGTTATTCTGCCTATGTGTTTTTCCTATTTTTTGTCGATTATTAGTCCCACTCCTGAACCTTTTGACTTGTCTTCTTCAGCTGAGGTTCAGAAGCTAATATAATCTGAGCTTTTTGCTAAGCTGAACTTTCCTTGCTGTTTATTAATATTCGATTCATTAATACCTAAAATATTAATTTTTTCTGCTTTTGCCTATTCTGTTAGGAGGTCAAGTTTTGTTGGATTTCCTTTTATTCCGTTAATATTGTGTGTTGCTATATTCAAAGTTTGAAAATTTGAGTTTCTGCTTGATTCTTTGTACTCCTCTCTTCATTCTTTCTCTTGCTCTACGATTCTGGTTCTCTTGTGGTTTAGGTTTTCTTTTGCTCTTTTTTACTTTTCAAGTTTTCCTTCTTGCAAAGTCTGAGCTCTCTGTAGTTCAACTGGTACACCAATTTAGGAGCGATTTGGAGCCTTGTACTCTCAGATATTCTCCTCTTCTCTGTATTTATAGTCTTCTTTTTCTGCAATTGCAATTAGATTTTCAAGTATTTCTCTCATACTTACTCTTTCTCTTCTTTTGTATGGATTAACCTCTTCATTTTTTGAGTGTAGTTTTCTTTTTTCCTTATGATTCATTGCTGAATCCCACTTACTTTCCTCATCTATTTTATCATTATCATATGTTGCATACTCATTTTCAACATTTCGGTATCTTTTTTGAACGTATTTAGAGCATTCTCCTCTCTGATCTTGTTCTATTTACTTTCTTTTTCCTAGGCTCTTTATACTTTTTGTTTCACTGTTATTTGCAAGAGCTGTTTAATCTTCTTGATACCTTTTGTCTTCGTAGAGATCATTTCTGCTTGCTACCCACGTGAGTCTGTTATTATAATAATAAACTGCAAATCTTGAGCAGTTTATCATATCTTCTTTGTTTTCGAAGTATACTGTCGTACTTCTTCTGTTATTGTCATTAGTATTTTTAAATATATGTAGAGCTTTAGCACTAGTTCGTTTGACTTGTCTTATTAAGAGTATCTCATTTGTGTCTTCTGGTAGGTCAAGTAATCTTCTAGTATACTTGTTACATTCTTTGAGTTTATTGCTGTTGCTTGTCCCAGTAGAAACTCTTACTAAGCAGTTCTCTCCGAATAGTATATACCATAAGTTTTCTAGCTCTTCTGCAGCCGTAGTGCCTGGTATAAAATCAATTACTGCTCTTGTTTTTCCATATGTTTCTTTAATCATTTCGATATAATTAACTCTTCCAAAATATCATATATTTTCAAAAATTTGTGATCTTTTTGCATAACTTGGAAGATCCCAAACTGTTATCATATTTCTAATATTATTCATTGCTTTGATTTCTGTTTGTTGACTGCTGTTGGAATTCTTTCTTTCTTCAGAGAGTGCTTTTCTTTTGTTATCTTGTACAGATCTCTCTCTTCTAAGGTTGTATACTTCTTCTAACTTTTTTTAGGCTTGTTTCTCTCTTTTGTCTTTCTCGTTTTCTTCTTCATTCAATTTGTCTTCAGTTGGTACCTTTTTTGTTTTCTCCTTGTTCATTTTTCTGCTGTTTTTGTTATCTCTTTTGCTTCCTAATACCTTCTGCACTGGCTCGTTATCTTCGAACAAAATATTGTACCACTCATTTGCTTTTTTCTTTAACCTTTCTTTTAAGATTTTAACTCCTTTATAGCAGTCAAAGCTGATGACAACCTATGAGTTCCCATTCGTAAAGCACTCTTTAATTTTGCTTATATGTTTGCTTCTGTAAAGAGTTCTTTCTACGAACTTGATTCTCTCTTCTTTAGACTTGCCAGGGAGTGAGATTGATGCTATTTTTGCTTTGTACTCCCTTATCTTTTGCATGTGTTCTTATTAGGGGCCTAGAAACTATCTTCGAGAGAATTTCTATGTAGTTCTTCATATTCTAATACTTCTTGTTCTACTCTATCTTCTACGATTTTGTCTTCTACTTGTGGAATATAGTCTTCTATTTCTGCTTCAGGTGTTACTTCAGCTTCTTGGTATGTTTGTAATATTGTATTTGTAATACTACTAGTTGTTTCTTCTATAGTGATCTTTGGGAACTCTATTGGTTGATTATTTTGGAACAAGATTTCTATTGCTGTTTTTCCTTTGTTAGCTTCCTTTTCTTTGATCCTTTTGACTTCCTGTGTGATAAGGGATTCATAATTGCATAGTGTCTCTTCTTCTTCCTCTTTTTCTTTAACTATTATTAGCTTTTTTTGCTTACTATCTAGTCTAGTCTTTTCTATTTGATTATATTCTTCTTTTAGTTTTGTTTTTTTTTTTTTTTAATGATAAATTTTTATTTCATAATCAATAGCACGAAGTCTTCCTTATTCTCAAAGAAAAAGGTAGCATCTATGACCTCAATTATAATGAGACTTGGGGAGCCCAAAAAGACCGCCTAGCTAAAAACATAATTCCCATCTTACTCAAACTTTGTGGTTAGCAATATCATACAGATCGGACTGAGCTAGCAAACATCTTGTACCAATGCCTCAAATCATCTCGTAATACGCAGTCGATACGTCAGGATCCATCCCAAAAAACGCATTTTGATCATCAAATACATATTAACTACTGGAGATCCGATGCATGAATTTTTACAAATTTGGTAAATGGGGAATGTATTAGGAGTTTCTTAGTTCATTCTACAAATTATAATCAAATTGAATTAAATTCTAATCCGAATTTAAGTCGATTTTAGACTTATAATTTAGGGAATGAACTAAGAAAACTCCCTTCAACATTATCTGTCGAAGGGGCTTTCCTAGTTCATTCCCAAAATTATAATCTAAAATCGAACTAACTTTCTAATCTGAATTTAGGTTTATTTTAGACTTATAATTTAGGGAATGAACTAAGAAAACTCCCTTCGACATTATCTGTCTAAAGGGGTTTTCTGAGTTCATTCTCCAAATTATAAGTCTAAAATAAATCTAAATTCAGATTAAAAATTTAGTTCGATTTTAGATTATAATTCACTAAATTTTATTTTTTAAAATTTTATTAAACTTCGGTCTAATTTTATAGAAAATGACTTGACGTGCTGAAGCATTTAAATATCTTCTCGGAAAGAAGGATGATTAGATCTCCAAATATGATACGGCTGAATTAAAAAATTTATTAGGGATGAATGAAATTCATTCACCTGAAATATCTGATGGATATGGTGAAAAGGATGCTAAGGGACAGTTGTATGTTAATATTTATGACCTATCTTGGAGATTGTCCGAGGTATAAGTTGTTTTTATTTTATTTTTATTTTATTTGTATTTTTATTATTATTTTATTATTATTTTTTTATTTTATTTTGTTTTTATTTTTTATTTATTTTATTTTATTTTTTTTTTTAAATAGTTAACTAACTTGTTACGAAACATCCTCGATCTAGCTAATAAGCCTAAATACAAACATCCTCGTCAATTCTCATCTATGCTAAATGCTCCTCAGCCTGATAATGTGCCTGATTGAGTAGTAGGTGGGAATAGTAAAAAAAGTAATTATAGTAATAGTGAGAATGAAAATGTAGGTGACGATGAGGGAAGTGAGGGCGAATAGAGTAGTGATGATAGAGGCTGTAAAAGATCAGCTCATGATGCTGAGGAGGAGCAGAGGAAGCGAAGGAGTTAAATTTTTTTTAATTTTTTAAATTTTTGTAATTTATTTTTTAATTTATAATAAATATATAATTTGGCGATCAAAATTATTAGTTGATTTCTTATTATTATATAAGCTGATTTTATACTGAATTGTTTAATCATTCAGTTTTGAATCTATATCGATCTATTTAAAAAAAATCGACCACTGAATGAAATGGCCAATTCGATATGAATTCGAATGTCGAATATTTATTCGATTTTATATCGAATATTATTATCAATCAGTTAGTCGAATTCATATCAATTTATTTAAAAAAAATCGACCACTGAATGAAATAGCTGATTCAACATGAATTCGAATGTCGAATATTTATCTGATTTTATATCGAATATTATTATCAATCGGTATCCAATTGTATACTGATTTGTACAACTATTCGATATAAAATCAGCTAAATATTCGACATTCGAATTCATATCGAATCAGCTATTTCATTCAGCGGTCAATTTTCTTATATTCGACTAGTGATTAAAGATGTCTAGAATTTTTATATATATATATATATATTATTTTTTTACTAAGTAAATATTTTTTAAATTTCCAAATAAAAAGTTAAAATAATAATTTTTATTCTAATAATGCTAAAATTATTAAAAAAGTTTTGTAAATTTAGAGATATTACTATTTTTATTTTTTTACTATAAATTTTTTACTATTACAAAAACTTTTTAGATTTTATTTATATAAAAAATATTAGTAAATATTTATTAATTTTTATTATTAGTTTAGTAATCTTAGTATAGTAGTTAGATTACTAAACTACTATATTAGAAGTCTGGAATTTAAATTCTACTATCGATAAATTTAAATAATTACTTGAACTTTTGTATTTAACTTTCAGTAAACTCTGTTTATTTCTAGAGTTGTAACCTTGTAAATCAAGTTGTATCAAGTTAATTGAATATTAGAAGTATGATATAATATTATGTAAAAAATCTTAATAGTATCTATAAGCAGAAGATTTGCATAGTAGAAATCCTAAGTAGTAAGGTAGTATAATCTTCAATAGTTATACTAGTAAAATCTAAAATCAAAAAAGAAAACTTAAATATAAGATACAAGTAAATTTGATCTGCTAATCAGCAATACTAAATTAGTTAGATAGCTAACTAGATTTAGAAAAATCTAATCATTCAAAGAGTATAAGACATTAGTGAAAGTATAAAAGATTATAACTAAAATTATATGAATACTACAAGTATCTAATCTAAATAATCTTATAAAATGAGTATAGGCTATTCTAGTAGATTTGCTTTAGAGTTAACTAGCTTTGCAATATTTACAATATATTAAATATAATATAAACTAAAAGAATCTAAGCTAATTTGAGTAAATAGATCTGTAATGAGCTAGCTAACTTAAATAGTTAGATATTGTAGTAATAATAAAATTAAATCTGTATTAGTTAAAAAACAAAATATTTAAATAGATAACTTACAAGTAGATTACAAATATAGTAGCATAGTATAGAACTAATTAGATAGTCTAATTATTTGTGTAGTAAACTACTTAAAATAGATAATGACTAAAGTTATACTATAGCTTGTTATATATTTTTTATATAATTACAAATAGTAAAGATTATTAATATAGAATTATATATACAAAACCAATAAAATCTCATTAGCAATATAAGCTATCTTAAATATAAAAAAAAAAAATTTAAAATTTAGTGATCTTAGTGTAGTAGTTAGGTTATCAGACTGTCATACAAGAGGTCTGGGGTTCAAATCCCACTGTTGACAAATTTGAATAATTCCTCAGACCTTTATACTCAACTTATGGTAAACTCTGTTCGTTTCTGAGATTGTAATCCTGTAAATCATATTGCACTAATATTATTTGGATATTAGAAGTATGATGAGGTATTTGAAAAGATATAATATTACATGAATAAATCTTGATAGGATCTATGAGCAGGGGACTTGCATAGTAGAAATCCCAAGTAGATAAAGTAGTACAGCTTTTGATAGTTATACCAGCTAACACTTGATTCAGAAAAGAAACTGTACTCTGAAAATGTAGATTGAGAGAGGTGTGAGTAAGTCTGTTCTACAAGAAGAATTAGCAATACTAACTTGACTTAGTAGCTAACTGAATTGGAAGGATCTACTTCATAAAACATCCAAAGAAATTAGCAAACAGAAAACTGGTGAAGAGCTACTGTAGGAACTGGAGTTGTATAAACATCTACAAGTATCTAAACTAGGTGAATTCATAAAATGAGTACAGACTGCTCTAGTAGGTTTGCTTTGAGGTTAATCAGAGCTCTGTAGGCTTACAATATGTTGAGCAATAAGCATCCTGAAAGGATCTAAGCTAGAGTTAAAAAATAGATCTGTAATGAGCTAGCTGGCTTAAGCAGTTAGGTGTTATAATAACATTAGTTTGTAACAGTATGAGTTAGTTAAACAGAGTATTTAAATAGATAACTCACAGGCAGGTTACAGGTATAGTAGTATAGTGTAGAACTAATCAGATAGTCTATTATCTATGCAGCAAACTACTTATACCTCAGACGACCTTCAAAATAGGTCATAAACATTAATATACAACTGTCTCTTAGCGTCCCTTTCACCATA